TTAAAATAATAGTACTAAAATGGTTGACATTTTATATAATTTATTTAAAAAATAACAATAATAATTCATTTTAATTTTTTTACAATATCTTATTATTATTATTATAATAATCAAATTCCTTAAAACAAACATAATAATGTTATAGTACAAGTATAAACATTTTTTACACATTATTTAAATTGATAACTGCATATATTATACATACAGTTCATACAAACTTAGACAACATTTATAGATAATTAAATAATGAAAAATGTTTACAAACAAAACAAATATTTAATTTTATTTTAAACTATATTAACATAGTTTAGCTCAAATCAAACATATTGTTATAGAAAATAAATATTCAACATTACTGTTGTGTTGAATTCAATTCACTGTAATGAATCAATTAACAAATCTAATTAAATCGATATTTAAGTTTGTATTGCAATACAATTATTTTTAATCTTAAAAGCAAAACAAATAACATTTGCTTTAAAATATTGAATAAAAATATTATTTGTTTAAATTTTACACTTAAATCAAAATAATCAGATTAATAAAACATAATTAACTATTAATAAGCAAATAAAAATATTTGCACAAAATAATAGTTATTTAAAAATAATTTCATAGTTTTACATATAAAATAGTAATTATTATGAGTTATAATTAATTCTCTCTTTCTTTATCTTTATGTGAGAGCACTCATGATTTGTATTGACGTTTAATTTGCATTTCATTTCATTGATTTAGAAAACCCATTGATATGTTCTTTCTTGATATTGTTAACAAAGTTAGAGGAATACCCCCATTGATCATATGATAGCAATGATATATACAGTATATGACACTTAACAATACCTAAGAATATGTTTTATAATATGAAAACCATATTGACTGAGACCCGACTGGGAATCGAACCCAAATCCAGTACCCAATCCTAAACATACAGAATCTTTAGCTTTGGTCATAAGTCACATAAAAAGAAAGAGATATATATAAATAAATTGATAAAATTGAGACAAAGAATGATTATATTATATATAATTGATTTTATTATGTAATAAAAATGTAAATTTATAATAAAGTTTACAATTATTTATATAGTGATTAAGTAATCTAATTAATTAATGTATTTTATTTATAGTATTCTTATATAAGTTTGTATACTTTCCATAATACCGGTATTAAGACTATGTTACGACCAGTGATTGAAATTTTTTATTATATTTTATTTAAAAATCATAACAACAAAAAACATTATTTATATGAGTTAATTATTAGTCATATTATTTACATATTTATGTTTTTGATTATCTTATTATTCTGAGTTATTATTATATACAATATAAAAGTTGAATTTATTATGTTATACTGACAATGCAATGATTTAATTTGTTTCTTTAATAAAAATATGAATTATGTTTTAAAATATAGATTTTAATTAATAAAAAATATAAAAAATTAAATTTTCACCCAATAGGAGGTTTAAAGGGGGGTAAAAGAGGTTTTAAGTTATGAATAACATCATAACAAAAAGTTATTGAGTTAATGTTGTGAGCGGCCCAATGGCGCAATGGTTAGCGCAGTCGCTCGCAGACTCAAAGGTTTTGGGTTCGCACCCATCCTAGCCACTAGAACACATCGGAATTTTTTTATATGTTTTTTTGATATTTTATTTATTTTTAAAATATATTTTATTTAATTTTTAAAATTATTATTAATGAAAATGATATTTTACAAAAAAATCATCAAAACATAAATAATTATTACAAATTGAACAGCAAATAAAAGCTGTTTTATTACATATATTACACTCTATTGAATCTAATTGAAATAATATTTTATTAACATTTAATTCATTATAACTATTGCTATTATTTTCATTATATAAGTTATTCCATGATTTTTTAAAAAACTCATGAAAAACAACTGAATTAAATTGGTTAAACATAAGAGACCATAATTTAATTATATTATTTCTCTGCTTTAAATGAATGTCTATATTTTCTAACATTACATAATTAGTAATACGTTTAACAAAATCTTTACAGTATCTAAACACTCCAACATCTAAAGGTTGTAATTTACCTGTAGTTCGTGGCGGTATTGTTAAACGTTTTAAAGTTTTTCCCGAATTGTTTTCATAAATTTTGTCATCTTTTTGTCCGCCGAAAGAGTCCAAAAGTAAAAGGCAATTAGATGGCATATCAGGTAAAAATACATTTTCAAACCTAAATAAAATTTTAATTAAATTCCGATGTGTTCTAGTGGCTAGGATATCAATTATATTTTAATTCATACCACCATTTCATATGCGATTTAGTCATTTTTCCCGAGTGACTACATGTTATACTAATGTTTGAACAACTGATCAGTGATTTCTTAACTATTGGTCCCAATACACCTGTTGTTTCTTTGAAACAAATTAATACTTTTGGAAAAAACGATCCGTCACTTTTTAATATTGGCATAACTGTATAAGAATGAGTGCAATCGAATAATGCTTTTACTGATAACGATGTCGTTGCCTCGCCTTTGTTAGACAATGTTCTCATTGACCGCAATTCGTAATTGACACCTGTTTGGTCAATATTACAGATTTCACTGTAAAGAAAAAATGTTAAATCCTAGCCACTAGAACACATCGGAATTTTTACCTTTCTGTATAATCAGTAATTGATTTATTAAATTCAGTTTTAAATTCAGTTATCGAATCATCAATTTTTTGTTGATTTTGTATTTCACGATAACTAACAATTTTCACAGCTTTCCGAGAGACTATTCTATTATTTTTTTTGAATTTTCTGAGCCAACCAGCACTTGCTTTAATCTTATAATTTTCTTTATGTGCATATTCTAGTGCCCACCGAACCAAATCTATTGTATGTACAGGTAAAAACTTTTCTCTGGCACATTTATATTTATCCAAAACATATTTTTCGATTCGAATCCATTTTTGGCGGGCGTTTCCGTTGTTTTCGACATACTTTTTGATTCTACTAATGTTCTCAATATGTTTTAATGAAAATCTATGTTTTATTGATTTTCTTGAATGAGTTTTATGCTCATTACAGTATTTGACAATTTCTTGCATTCTCTCCAAACTCATATTTAATCCTGAAGACTAAAAAATTTTTTTAATTCCGATGTGTTCTAGTGGCTAGGATAACAACTATCTTACCTTTTGTGGTGACACTTCATAATCCGAGTCTTCAATATCATTGCTTTGATTTTCATAATCATTTGACTCAATGGTCATCAATTCGCCGTCTTCAATACTGTAGTTTATATTGTCGACATAATTGTTAATTATTTTAAATAAATTATTTGCTAAATCTTTTTCATATTTATTTAATTCACTTTCATTTATAACATAATTTTCTTTAATTAATTTATTTAAACTGTTTATTACATTATACACATTAAATGATTGCATATTTGTTTAATTTAAATATCACTGATTTGTAATTAAATTATTGTTAAAATGTTTGGTTGAGTTTCAGACACATAGTATTTGATAATATCAGTCAATTGTAAAAACTTTTATAATTTACAATTAATGTTTATTGTTTATTATTTATTTACATTTCATAACATTTTTATAACAATAATAGTAAACAATGTTTATAAAGCAAAACAAAATTAATAAAAAAAAATTAAACATTTATTACAGTTTTTGATTTAATTGAAAAAAATAAATTATTTAAAAAAAATATTTAAAAAAAATTCCGATGTGTTCTAGTGGCTAGGATGGGTGCGAACCCAAAACCTTTGAGTCTGCGAGCGACTGCGCTAACCATTGCGCCATTGGGCCGCTCACAACATTAACTCAATAACTTTTTGTTATGATGTTATTCATAACTTAAAACCTCTTTTACCCCCCTTTAAACCTCCTATTGGGTGAAAATTTAATTTTTTATATTTTTTATTAATTAAAATCTATATTTTAAAACATAATTCATATTTTTATTAAAGAAACAAATTAAATCATTGCATTGTGAGTTAGTTAATAAATTTCAATATTAAATTTTTTGAAGTTATTTTTCGAGTTATTTAATACCACATATGACTAAAATTGAGTTTATTTTGTTATACTGAGTCAGTTAATAACTTTGAATGTTATCAGTCCTTATATGACTGAATTTAAGTTTATTAAGTCATTTGATACTCTACAATGTCTACAGAGTCTACATAACGACACATACGTTATTTGCTTTATCTTTAATATAATATAATTAAGAAATTTATAAAAAAATATGAATTAATAAATTAATTTTAAATGATTTGATAAATCAGTTAAAGTGAAATTTGTGTGAAAATGCTTTCTAGCATTCTCAACTGGTTCTATTGAATATATCCAACTAATGATTAAACTATTAAAAAATTAATTTACACAAATGTTTTAAATAATTAAATTTTATTACACAGAAAAATAAATAACAATAATTGTACAATTAGTTTAAATTATAACAAATTATAGTTATAAAAAAACATTTTTATTTATCAGGTAACATGATATAATTTTTATTTATATAAAATATTTATAGATAAACGATTTTATACATTTAATATATATTGATAGTATATTAAATTCACAATAATATTATAATTTAACTTAGTATTTTATTTAAACAAACAAATATTTATTATGTTAAAATTAGCTTAATTTATATAAACAATTAAAGAATTGTACTTGGTTATTTTTACATGCAGTAAAAACTGAAAATTTATTCTATAGTCTAATTAAGTTAATATATATATTAAATAAAATGTTAAAATTACAATAGTTATTATTATTTTCACTAATAATTTCAATGCCAAATAAAATAATTAAAATATTACTAATAAATAACAAAAAGTAAAGTGTGTTTTATAGAAATATATGTATTAATAAATAATAATGAAATGTGTTTACAATAAATATAATTTTTTATTTTGAACTTAATTAAATTTTTATGTGAAAAAAATTATGATTTCTTAGCTAACATTAGATTTTTATTATTGTAATTAGTTTATTATTATTATTATTAATGATATGAGAAGTTAAGTACAATAACTATGCGATCACTTTCTACCTCTCATTCCGTAAAACGCTTTCTTACCTCTCGATGGCATAAATGCCGCCCTTTTGTCAACCGGTTCTGAATTGTAATCATTATTATTATTATTGGATCCATAAGGAGATACAACATCGAGATAGTCGTCATACATATCACTAGTGGTTGAATTGCGACCCCTGACCGGCAAAAAGCTCTGTTTCCGTCCTCTCATCGGTAAGAACTTAGACATCCGTTTGTAATCGTTATTATCATTGTTGTCACTCGAGTCAAATGTAGGCCAATATCGGCGACCTCTCGACGGCAAAAATGCCGTCCGTTTGGCATTTATCACACCGTTTACAGCGTTTTCATTTTCCTTTTATAAAATAATTAATTTTTATTTACATATAAATTGATTATTGAGTTTTAGTTAAAATAAAAAGCTATGAATAAAAACAGAATATTCTTGAATTGCAAACTTTATTTAATAGAAAATCTAAAGTAATATTTTTTTTATTTGTTTGTTCACAATTGTTGTGTGGGAAGCAATGCTATGGGTATAAGCAAAATAAGAAAATGTATATAAAGTTTATATTATAAACTGTTTTATGTTATCGTATATGACATTATATTTCTATCAATTTTGAAATTCACTTTAATAACTATTTTATTTCACAATTGAATGCAAACTATGTTTTCAAAAAATATTACTTATATCATGAAATATAAAAATTAAGGTTTTAAAACATCTTTATATTTATTGATTGATTTGAAAAAAATATCTTAAATTTAGTGTCAATACAATTGAGAATAACCCGTATTTTTCAAATAATTCAGTCAATTGTGAAATAAGTATTATTTCATTTTATTCAATAAGTCTTACAAAAAAAGTTTGTCACACAAAAGTTTACAAAATCATTAGTGCTTTTATAAAACGTTTATTACTTTATACTAACTATAGGTCTAATTTTTTTAAAGCTTTATACCTATAATGTCTACCGGTATTTACTGATATTGTAAATATTATTTGTTTTTTATATTTATTTTGTTATTGCTTTCTGCCTATTAGTGACTAAAAACTATATGTGATATAAAGTGACACAATTTTGTAAATACCTGAACGTCTTGGGCATCGATTAATGCAAGAATCACTGATATTATTAAAAGCAATACAATGACAGTCATAGGTCTGTATGCCTGACTGTCTACTCTTGTTGTGGTTGAGTTCAGAGCCATTGTTTTGATAATTAAATGCCTTTTTAATTATTTTTTTCGAAAATCTATTAATAAAAATAATAATTATTAATTAAATATTGATAATCTGATATATCTTTAACTATTATTTATTTCTATTTATAAACTGATTGCTGTATTTTTCAATAATGTCAACTTTAGATAACTTTAGATAATATTTGGAAAAATAGATTAAATATTATTCATTTTTAAAATACTCATGAGATCTACAAAAAATTTTGATCAAAAAGTCTAAAACACTATTAATAATAAAAATATATTAAAATATCAAATATGTGCCGTGTATTGTGTTTATCGTATTTATCTCTAAAAATCAATTTTTATTTTACAGTCAAGAGATAAACTTTATGTAAATCATGATATTTTGTTAAAACATTTTTTCATAATATAAAACAAAAATATAGCGCATACCGGTATATCATTTTTATTAACCATTTAATGGCAAACATTTAATGTAATTATTTGTGGTAATTTTAATTATCATAATTAAAAAATGTAATTTTAAAATCTATTTTTTGTACTTTGTTATTTTTTACTTTTTATATTGAATATACATTATATACTGTATACAGTATATATTTTTTAAATATTTGTTTACTGATAGATAATTACAGTTTATAGCAATTAAGCTAAAATTACATATTTATTGATCTTTTTCAACATTGGAATGTATTGCAAAATTTATATAACTATTATATAAAGTATTTTTGTAATTATTGCTATTAATTGCTAAAATAATTTCAATATTTGGCTACTACTCACGTGTAACCTACTATACCTATCGTTTAATTGTATCAAACATCACTTTTTCAAAATTATATGAAATGCTGTATTACTATATATGCTTTTAAATATTTGTAAAACCTATAAAAGTATGAGATCACACCCTTTTCCTAATATAACTTCCTAATATACAGTACATGTATGACATTTCACAAATGTTGACAACAAGGTAATAGAAAAATACAAAATTATTGTTCAATAGCACACAAGTATAAACTTCAATTACATTGCTTTATACAGTATAGACTCAATTGTACTATTTGTGAGCACCTGCAGAGTCGATATTAATAAAGTAATAATAAAAAAATATTTGTATTGTCATACTATATGTTAATTTTGATAATATAATGATTTCGTGGCATAATATGGTCATTGTTACCTTGTTGCATGTTGTCACACTATAACTATATTGTTTTTAACTGTAATTTATTATTTTAGCCAATTTTAAATTATTTCTAATATATAAAAAATACAATTTTTAGTACACCCAAAATTGTATACCATACAATAAAGATAATATTATACAGTATATTGAAATTGTGTAATGGGTAAACATTTTTTAATACTCTATATTATCGGTATCTTTTAGGTTTATATAATAAGTAACTAATATAATCTATTGTATCAAAGTTTTGTATTAAAGTTAAATTTAAAGCTTAATTATATTTATTTTCATTTACGATACGTTATTTAGTACAATAAACAGTAAAATAATACAAATATCATAAAATATAGTTTACAACATAATATGTAATTCTATATTAATAAAAATTATATTATATATAATATTAATACTTTATTATCAATAAAAAATTATATAAGTGTTAATACTAAGAAACAAACTAATTGAATTCAATTAATTTTTATACTAAATTTTTATTACAGTGTTTTAGTTTTGTCAATGTTAGACTTACTTTTAATATACTGTTTAAATATACAGTATTTCGTTTATCTATATTTTAAGTAATATTACAATAAGTTATAAACAGTAAAACTTGTATGTTTTGTATACTTTTAATGAAATTTTCTGTTTATAAATTACTTTTGTTTAAAATAATAACTTTTATATTATTTTTTATAAAGAGTAAAATTATTATAAATATATAACATTCAATATTATAATTATTCAAATATTATAATAATTCAAATATTATAATTTAAATAATTATGGTAAAATAATATTTGCAAATAAATTATGATAATTATAAAAGATGACATTTACCTATGTATAGTATTAAAATATAATGTGTTTTTATAATGTGATAACTCAACATATATTTAATAAAATTATTTATGTTATAAAATTGATGTAGAATTGCTATACAAATAATTTAAACATTGATTTTTATAAATTAGTCTAAAGCATACACTAGTGAAATACAATACTACAATAGTGTTAAATATTTATTTACTTAATACTTAATAACAAAATAAATGTAAACTCCCTGATTTTATTGATATGAATTGTTAACATGTTAATATTAATATTTTGGTATTTTAAGATATTTTTATTGTAAAATTATTAAATGTTATTATGTATAAATACTGCATACTTATTTATATTTTTATACTCTGCTAAATATCTAATTGCTATAATAATTTTGCAAATTAAAAATAAACTAACTCTATATTAAAAAACATTGTTAAAAAAGACAAAAATTTAAAATTGTTAATTATCAACATATTGTTAAAACACAATTTTGTATAAGCGGTGTATTAAAAGCTCATAGATGAATATGTTTAACATTAAGTAAGATATGAAAATTTTTAATTTATATACTGTATTTCACATAGTATTGTATCAATAGTTAAATTATCAATATATGACTTAATTTGCCACAAATGTATTAATTGTATGATTAGAAGGACAATAAAGTCAACTAAAATATAATAGCACTTTAATTTTTGAAAATTGATTATATCAACTTTACTTTTAGTTAATTAGCTATTAAATATTATGTACATATTTATATATATATATATATATATAAACTATTAGCATTGAATTAATTTACTAATAAATAATATAATATTAGTTAAAAATTAAATTTATTTAAAATATTTTATTGTTAATCGATTTTTAAGTTACAATTTCTTAAAAGTCTTATAAATTAAAAAATAAGTTTTTAGTTAAACTCATTGTTTCATAACATTAAGTTATTTAAACTTTGTATAATATGTTTAATTCAAAAACTATTTATATAAGAAATAATATTATTTATAATAAATATAGATTATATAAATAAAATATAATTAATGTTATACAATAAGTAATATTTTAATCAATATGTTAAAAAAAATTAAGATCTGTATAATTATTATTTTTGTTAAAAATGTTATTATTCGTTTTATTTTTATAAACTTATACAGTAATATAAATACAGTATAATAAAAATAAAATATATTGCAATGAAAAAGTAAAATAATAAATACATGTATTTATTGTATGTATTTTATAAATGATTTACTGTATATACTGTATTTTTATTATTCAACAATATAGGTACTGAAACAATATTAGACATCAAAATGCTTTTATTTTAATGATATGCATAAAATTAATGTTTCTTAACATATATTAATATAAATGCAAAATATGTCTAAACTGCGTTTCACAAAAAATAAATATTATATATAATATAAAAATTATAAATAAATTTATATGTATTATAAATGTATTATAAATTTTATTTGACAAATTAAATCTAAAAAATAAACAAAAAAAACTTTATAAATTAAAATTTCATATTATTTATTATATGGTTTATATTGTGAATTAAATTAATAAAATTTTATTAGTAGTTTCTTGAGTAAATAAAAAACATTTTTAATTTATTAAAATGAAATAAAGTTTAAATTAAATTATTATATTTAGATTTGTATTATACAAACATTCAAATATAATAATAATAATAATTTATTTTCATTAGAGTGTATTCTTTGTTATAATAATAAGATAAATACAGAACTATGTATTCAATTAGTGTTAATCCATTGATATTATAAAATATTAGTTAGGATTTTGTGTAAGGCTTTCAAAAATCAAGATTAACARTGACATCAAGTCTAGAAATATATAGACACAACATTTGGGATTATATTTTATTAATGTAACTATTTTTACAAAAAAATAAGAGAAATATTTTCTATTATTTTCATAATAAAAACAAAACCTATTTGTGAAACTTCAACAAAAAAAATTAAAAATACATCAAATTGGAAATATTTCCAAAAATACCTGTAGTAAAAATCAGTAGATTTTAAAATTAATTTTGTTAAGTATAATACATCATGTTTTAAACATATCATACTCTATATCGAAATTATACTATATTTAATAATTTCAATTTAGAAATATGACTTTACGGTACACCATATTCACTAATTTTTATATTAATTAATGTATGAATTATATTTATATATTAACTTTAATGACTTTTATTTTATATTATCAAATATAATTATATTAGTTTATAAATTTATATATAAATAAATAAATAAATAAATAAAGAGAGAGAGAGAGAGAGAGAGAGAGAGAGAGAGAGAGATAGCATTTGTTGTATTATAGTTCAAAAAATTATTAGTGGTTAAGTGGTTTATGGAAATGACTATGATATGTTAATTAAATGAGAAAAATAGATGCATTTAATAATTTATAAATATTACCGCAATTCAGTATAATTAAAATTAATTTTTATGGCAATACTTTAACAAATATAAATTAGATTGTAAATTACACTTATTAAATTTATATATAATTCTACTTATAAAATATTTTATACCAAAATTCATTTTATAATAATTGATTAATTGGTATTTAATTAATTAGATAATATAATTTAGTATATACTATTATAAACACAATTTGCCATTGCAATAGGAATACTTTATTTTTTAGTTTATAATATACTGTATATACGGGATATATATAATTTAATAAGTAGTATAAATTGTAATTAATGTAAAATTAATAGATGTAATTAAATTGTTTAATAATTAATAAAAATATTTAATAGCTTACCCAAAAATGATTATGATAAGTTACTTAAAATTTATAATATATTTTCAGAAAATATGAGTTTTTAAAATTCAAAATCTTAATTTGTATTTAAAAATACTATTTTCCCTATATTGTACAGTATATAATAACTTAATAAACAATTAATTTTTAGTACAATATTATTTTAAATGCAAAACAAAAAATCTTTGATGAGTTTGAGATAATTTTGATGACAACGTCTATAGTTATAAAATAAATCTTATGCTTCAAAAATTTACCACCAATTTGTAGTTTACCTCAAATTATAGGAATATACATATAGTGTAGAAATGAAATCAAAAAATAGTGAAATAGACGTTAAATCCTATAATAATATCATACAATACTAAAAGTAATAGCATATTAGGCACATCACAGCGGATGCGTCGCTAAATACTATACTGACCCACAATAGAGAGCTGTCGTCGGTATATGATATACAACAGTCGAGTCCTAATAACAAAAATGACAATTTTTGATTAAAAAATTATGTTACTTAGTTTAGTTATAAAACTACAATAAATAATTTAAAACTACAAATATAATAAGATAATATTTGATAATTAAAAATTGTTGGATAAAATAGATTAATTATTACACAACCAACAAATTTAATAAATAATGGATTATTTGTGCATGTTCAAATTTTGTATAATATACTAGTATAATAATCTAGATAATATAATTTTTCAAAAATTGCTATTTTTACTATAAAGGAAATCATTTAAAATTAGTAAAAAATATATAATAAAATAGACAACTTTTGTAATACTGGTAAACTACATTAACATATTGTAATGTTGACAAATATATAATATAATTACAAATATTTTAATTGAATTTTTAAATTATTTAAAAAATAAAACTTTAAAACATGCTAAATTAGCAATAAAATTTTAGTATAAAACTCTCTACTTTTGTTTTATTACACATACATTACATAAAATGTATAAAAATCTACCTAAATGTCGTTAGATAACTTACTTAAAATTGTTAAAAATTATTAAAAATAGCAAAATTTTCTTTAAATTTTGCTAAAAATATTTGACAATTTGTTTCTAAAATTTAAAATTAAAAGTATTTAAAAAATAACAAATTATATATATATATAATCTAAATTAATCTATATTATATCTATATTACTCAACTGTATAAAATAGTAATTTCTATATAATTATATAAAAATTATTTGGTCACTCTATTTAAAAGACAGAATCATTTGAAAACTTTTTTATTTTGTTTTTTAAAATTCTGTATTCACTTAATGTTTAATATACTGAATATATATTCAGTAATATAAAAATTTTGTATGAAATATATTAAAAACTTTGATAAAATACATTTTCAAACAACTTAAATAACAAATCAATTAAATATAATAAAATTGCTGTAATATTAATTTATTACAAATTTTTTATTATTGATAATTTGTATTACAATAAAACCAATGTATGCTTAATTTATGGTTGATATAATTATATATTTGAAGGTCTATGTTTTTATTGTTTTATTTTTTTTATAGTTTTAGTCATATTATTGTTTTTTTATCAAATCATATGAAATATGATTGCGTGCGGACAACACACTAGAGTGAACACAATTGCGTGAATCGGCCACTCATTGGCAACAATAAGGCTTACGTATGAATAAATATAATCATAAAGATATAGTAATTGGAAAATAAGTTATCTATTATTTGTTGAAAACTGTTTGAGATTTCTCATAAGGTTTAAGATGTGATTGCAATTTGCAATAAAACTAAAGTAAGACTTACTCTATATTATCTAAAAATATGAAAACATTACATAAAAAATAAAACACCTAATTATTGTTAGTCATTGGTATATAAAATAAAAATTTAAACAATTTTAGCTATACTGTATATTGGTAAAAATAAATTTTTAATCAAACTGTTATGTATCTATATAGCTAATGTATGATTAAGATTAATTTATAAATTATTCATAGATATTTTATACTATATTTAAAATATTCATTTTTAATAAAAAATAATAATAATAGATTTTATAATTTATTGTTTTTGTGGAAATATATTGTTAAAAATAAATTAACTTTTTTTTTATTTTATAAATAAATAAAATAAAGATAATTAGCAAAATTTAATTATTATTTTGTGTAAAATTTAATCTATAAATATTTCTATAATTATGTAATTTATATGTTGTAAACTACTGTAAAAAATAGTTAAATAAAGTGATAGTCTAAAAAATATAACTTAAAATAAATATTATAAAATTAAATCGATAAAAATTATAACATAGTATAAATTCATTATATTAAAATATTTTAATTCATCATTGATTATATAGTATTAGTATAAATATTATTAACTTTCAATTATTTTATAAATGTAGTGACGGAAATACTGTACTACGCTTAGTAGTGTATGTAAAAATATGTAAAATCAATATGTAGTCATATTTACTATTGTATATTTTATTGATTGATTGCATTTTAAATTTTTTACTAAAACTTATATTTTAAGTCAATTATAATTAAATTAAAGTCTAAATCTGGTAATTGTGACTCAATTAAGATTGACATTCAAAGTAAGCGTTTAGAGACAGATATCCCAAGTGTATAGACTTTATAGGCCAAATCATCATGATCAACTTATATAGATAGTGACCCTGATGCAACCTTCAAATACTTTTATCAATATCTACTTAACTATAAATGAACCCAATTAAATAAATGTATCAAATTCAATTTACAAATAATTAATATTAATTAACTAATGCAAGAAATGCATTATATTATATTTATATACGAAATTTATTTATAACTTATTTACTTAACATTTAATAATTATTTTTTAATATTTTTATTTATACAATAATTGTTCTGAATTATTCTGTATTAAGTGCTTATATCATATATTGTTTTAACTAATATTTTAAGAAACTCTATAATTTTTATTTATTTAAAAATTAATTAATTATCTTATAATTTGTTTTCTTAATTGATTTTTGTTGTTGTTATATACTATATATTATATAATATTATATAAAAATTCTAATTTGTATAACAATAGTACTCCAAAATATTCTAAAATAAATCTTTTAAATTTATGTTAATTTATATTAGGTTTCGAAATACATTTAAATAAAATAATATACTAAATAAATATTATTAAGTTTTATTATAAAATTTTTTAAACTAAACAACCAAATTTTTTTTTTAAATTTATAAATGTCATATAATTTTAATGTTGACAACTTAATGCAAACTTTTAATAATCAATAAACACAAGTATAACTGTTAGTCTCATTTGAACACTTAATTGAACAAAATTAATCTAATTTTAAACTAGTTTTTAACATTTAACATAACAACAAAAATTTAGATTCACTTTCATTGATCACTTATATCTATATAAAGTTAATCCTTCACAAACCCAATGAGGAAATGACTCTCTAATGACCACTTCATTAATCCATTGTTATGACAAAAGTAATAATTGTTATACAATGTTGGAAACGATAGCAAATAGATAACGGATGAGATAACACAATACATTTTGTTAGGCTTATAGCAATTAGTTAATTATGGTAAATATAAACTGGCAAACAATTAAAAATTTTATTTAATTTGAATCAAATCAATGGTTCACAATTACAGTCTTTTCTTAAATCAATAAAAGGTTGTGTATATTGTTGTAAATATAATAATTTGTTTTCATTTATCGCATGTTTAATAAAAAATGTTTCGACTTTCAAGTCATCAATCGTTGTTTGATTTAAAGTTAATTTAAATGTCCCAAACATTTTTGACTGTACATCTGTTTTGTCAAATTGTTCATATTTTTGGCAAAATTGTCGACATTTGCGGACATCAAAACAAGATCTGGTCATCATTTGCATTGCACTTCGGTCGGCCTCTTCTTCAAGCAAATCATTATAAGAACTGAAATATATATATTTACGAACCGATTGTTTTAATAAATTCAAAAGAAAAGTATCAATTTTAGCAAAAATATCAAATCTCAAAGTTTTGTCACTTAATATCATCCAAAACATTGGGAAAAGTGTGACCACAGGTATTGAAAACACCGACGTAAATGTCATCTAAAATATCAATCAATAAATTAATATACTGTATATCTGTCAAAACCTATCATATAAGTACCGGTTCTCTGGTGTGATCCAACATAATATGTGACAATTGGTGAGACATTACATATGCTAACTCATCGTCGGTATCGCACATATTGACCAGTCTTCGGGATATAAACAAACTGCTCGAATCCTTTAATGCCATTACATCACACAACTTGTCGTCGTTGACCACAATTGCAGTCCAATGTCCGTCTCCAATGACCGGCAGATCTTTATTCGCCTCAACCAATCGGTCGACCACTTGATCACATCGTTTGACAATCGGATCAGTTGCGGGAGCAGACAATTGCAATGTCGTTGTAATATTTATAAACATCTCTTTGAAGATATCGTCCTCTATTTCAGACATCATTTCTGATATAATTAAACACATGAAATGTTAATCAATTACTGACATAACAACCAAATGTCAAACCTTTTGGCAAATTATAAGCCGTGGATCTGCCGGTAATAGGATTCTCGTCGGTCTTAAAGAATATATAATTAATGAGAAAAACGTTGACTATTATTGTCGGGTAAATCAAGTACTTCAACATCGATGAGATGTATATATTTCTTCGCCTATCAATCGGAGTCTTTTCGTACCATTCAATGAGTTCACTGAAAAAGACATAAAAAAGTCAATAAATCTTTGAGAAGATGTATGATATCATACAATGGTTTCTTTAAAACAATGGCCACAAAAGGATTTCTTGGTTTAGCTCTTCGCCAGTCTTTGATGACCGGTATGTCATCCCTTACGATCGGTCTCTTGTCGGTTGCAGTCATCTGTTTTATCGGTGATAATTGTTTGCTATCTTTTGTGTGACAAAAATGTCGACAATTATAAGCCATTAAAAGTAAATGTCTTTTACGGTAATTAATGTAATCAAATGATTGATATATTGTGTGATATTTGCAGACATTTGTGTAAATCACTGTATTCTTCGGCCACTTGTTTGTGGACAACAATTTCGGCCACAAATGTACTGACATTTCGGTTGTAAATACTTTTATCGATTAATTAAATACTAAAACTAAATAACTATCGATAATATGATAATTCATTATATTTACAGAATAACACATAACATGTGATATTATATTATATTTAATATATTATAGTATTTACACTATTAATGACAATAACACTGTATTTTTCATTAACTTATTTGCCCTTAAGTTCATAAATAATGTATACTTTAACTGTTGTACACATATTATAACATATTATAAATAACGGTTTGCTTATATGTGTACAGTAGTTAAGTTAGTTAAGAAATACTGTATTTAATGTAATAGAAAATTAATTTATTATTAAATGACCTGTAATTGATATATAGTATTAATATTATAGTTTGATATAATAATTATTATAATAATAATAGTGTTGTCATTATACACACAAATATAATATGATATTTTCATATTTAACTTTAGAAAGCTTTATACTGTATAATCAAATTATGTTTTCTGATTAAATATTAAACTAATTTTATTGTGTATTTTGAATATATAATAAATTAATTATTAAATGTTCCTAATATTAATAAAATATACTTTGGATCAAGGATAATAAATTAAAAATTAAAAATTGCAATACATAACAATAGACATTATGCATATTTAGTTACATTTTAATTAATTAATTGATTATATATTTATTCAAAATTTTATTTATCAGAAAACACAATATCATTTGTTATAAGCCTTTCAAAGTTGTATATAAAAAATATGATATTCAAAATTGTAAAATCTACTAAATATGTATTATGATTTAAAAATGATAAAAAATAATGAATTTTTGACTGTGTTATTGTTTTACATGTTAATTTGTAACAAAAAAGTATAGATTATTTTTAAAATTTTAAAAATATAATAATAATAATAATTAAGTACTAATTATTTCATAAAAGTTTATGAGAACATTCAAGATTCTCAACATTTGGTTGCTATATATAAAAACAAAAAACCCACATAAAAAAAACTAACAAAACAATTAACAAATTTTGTTAACAATTTATTTATAACCGCAATAATGATGAACATCTCTCAATTTATGTGGCATTAAATTTTTATATAACAATATTTATTTTAGTAACGCATTTCTGTTAGACACCTGTTTATATAAAAATAAATAAATATTAAATATTATATTATAGTTGTAGTTGTAGTCTATTTATGTGTACAAAACATATATTCATTTTTATAAACCATTCTTATGTTATGCTAATAATAATAGCACTTATAATAGTGTTGTAATAATATATATATAATATGTCAGACAATGGTTTTGATTCCCAAAATACACTCCAAAAGGTGTATCCAATGCTTGACTTCAATGCAAATATAGTTTTGTTGTGATGTTTGTAAAAAAAATGATTGCAATTATTAGTCGACTCGTCTCACGACTAATACTTTGCATTGGTTTCGCCCTTTAGTCCACTTTTTTCAAACATTTTTTTCTTGCAATTTGTATCTAAAATTAGGTTTAAAACTTTCAAGAAGAGAATGTGAAAGTTTTAATTTATAATACAATACAAAACAAAATACTATTATTATATAAGCATTTTTAAATAGCATTTATCAAACATCTAACAAAAAATACAATAAAGATTTTTATTGATAATAATATTATATTTGAAAAACAACTTCAACTAAAAGCATACATTCGTCTCTCTCTCTTTCTCCTTCTCTCTCTCTCTCTCTCTCTCTCTCTCTCTCTCTCTCTCTCTCTATCTCTATCTGTCTATCTATCTATCTATCTATGGGACAGGCATTACAAATACCGGTCCCTAAAGAATAAGGTCAGTACTTGCAGTGAATTCACATTAAAAGCAAACATATATAAATATATATATATATATTTTAAGGCCTTATATTTAACAAAAATGAGTTCATTATAATTACATTTTATATGAGATACACAACAGTTCATTGCATGCATACATACGTATATTAATTATGAGTACATTATAATAAATTATGAATATACTTTATTTAAATTGATAACATTGTACCGTTTATAAATTGTATATAATTTAATATAATGCATATACACTGTATAAAAATCAATTTTTATAACGAGAATCGGTTGAATATTTATCTTATTTCAAATAAAAATAACTTTTTTTGCATAATCTATATTCGCAACTAATACTATGTTATACATATACAGTACAGTTCAGTACAACTAATGTTATACTCTCAATGCTTTCAATATCTAATAAATGATTTGATAAATTATATTTACGGTTTCACCACAAAAAAAACAAAATCATATATAAATGAAAACACAAAAGAAAATGAAAATCTTTTGTCTATTATATTAAATACAATTAAATTAAATGTAAGAGAAAAAGCTATATTTATATTTATAGACAGCAATACCACAACAACAACAACAAAACAACTTTAAGAAAGCAGTTGTTATAATAAAAATAAAAAAGTCAAGAGATTTGTGGATTTGATACTTAAAAAGTCTACATAAAAGTGGAAAGTCTTGCATTACTTTCTAATTATTTGCTTTGCAAACGGCTTTCGTTAAGCATTACATCAGTTTTATAAAGTTTTCTCTGACTTTGTTTTTAAAATAAGTTTTTATTTGTGACTCAAGTATTTTTTACTATTTTGAACACAAAAATTTTTTAAAATGACTTTTCAAGTAATATATACTATATATATATAATTGTTTGTAAATTGTTATTATAATATTTATTTATTTTTAATTTGTTTAATTTAGAAATTTTATAAAATATTATTGATTACAATTGCAATGGCAATCACACGATCTGACGCACAGGTATTGAGTGGTTTGGGAGCATTGGCTCAACTATTACAAAATAGTGGCTACAGTTTCAATGGTAATGGTATCGGTGCCAGTCTTTTGGAGTCATACCAACAACAGCCCGGTTTCAAAATCCTGGCCGCACTCATACCATCACTCAATAGTTTAACAAATACTGCTCCCAATCCAACCCCATCCCAACCGTCTCAATCACATTCACATCCTTTGCCACATTTACATGGATTTATGCCATCGTATGAACAATTTAATGGATTCAATGGACATCACATGAATTTTATGGATAATGGAGAGCATATGGATGAGAGTCAAAATATCAATTGGATTTATAATCAAAATATGATGGACTACGACAACAATCATCACCACAACAACAATAATAACAATAATTACAACGATTACTAAAATTATTATTTCTACAAATAATTTAGACTTTTTTTGTTAAGTGTAAAAATAATTTGTATAATATTATATATTTGATATTATATTATGTATATTACTATATGTTTTTATAATGGTTAATAATTATGTAATATAAAAGACTAGTAACAGGATTTATTAATAACTTATATTATGATTTTTCTACATTTGTTATCAATTTTAATAATTCAGTTTATACATTTATAAATTGTCCCATTTTTATAAAATAACTATTTTTTAATTTGTAACTTAAATTAGTCGACAAAAATTTTAAACAAATTAAAAAATATTATTTTTAATTTAAAGTAGATAAACTGTTTATTTGAATTTATAAAATAATTATACAGAAAATATTATACATTATGTTAACATATAAAATAAATAAAAATATTTTAAATCTATTTTTGAACTTTAAATAAAATATTAACTACATTTAATTAATATATTTAATTGAGGTCAATTAAATATTTTACAAAACTATATTAATCATATTAAAATGATCATTTAAATATTATTGAGTAAATTATTAATAAACCGAAGTTTATTAATTTTTGTATTTGGTTTCTATTATGAATAACATAAAGTTTTAATAAATATCATTTATTAAATGTTTAATTTATTAAAGTATGTAATAGATATCAATTAAATATTGAGTGTATTTTTAAAAAAAATCTAATTAAATAAATATATTATAAAATTATTAAATAAAGAATCAATTAATATTATTTATATTTACTTAATTTTTATTAATGTTAAGAGTCTTAAGACAAAGCTATTTATATATTATGTAAATCTAAATAATAATAATATACCAAATGTGAAATTTTTTAAAAATAAAAACAATAATCATAAAATATTAAGTCTACATAATGTATAAGTATACAAAATATAAAATATATTGTCATCTAGATTTTTTAACAAAAATTTATTTTTATTTATTTTGTTTATTTATAATATTTAATTTTTTATAAATATTTTAATTTCTACAATCACACTTGTCACACAATCATGTACAGTACATGTTTATATACATAAAATTATAGCTATTAAATTAGTATTATATTATTTATATATTATAAAATTTTTAATTTATTGAATTCAATATATAAATTAGATGTAAATATTATTTACTGTTTTTTGATTTAGTTAATAAAATTAGTTGTTCGCCATTTAGTTTAATTTTTATTTTTGAAATTAAATAATAAACGTGTTTTATTATTTTAAATATTAGTAGATTATTTATAAAAATTATAATTAATTCTAAAAAATTATTAGAAAAAATCTTATATATAAATTATAAAATAATCAAAATAAATATTTTAAAAATAAACAAATATTTAATTAAAATCATTAATTATAAAGCTTTGTGGTTTCTGCTTGAAAATCAATAATTAATTTTGATAATTAATTCGAGCATGAATTTATCAAATTTGATAATTCTCTCTCTCTCTCTCTCTCTCTCTCTCTCTCTCTCTCTCTCTCTCTCTCTCTCTCTCTCTCTCTTATCTATCTATATATCTATCTATATATTTATCTATATATTTAAGTTAGAGAATAATATATTAAATATATACTTTTGGGAATTATGTTTTAACGAAAAAGTATGATATTTTGCATTTATTCATTAAATATAATTAATAGTTATATTTTAAAATAAATATCTATTTATGAATTGCATATATTTGTTTACAGTAGTGATAATTTCTATAAAAACTAGTTAATTAAGATAAAGATTTTAAAAATATTAAATAATGTTAATAAAATATATGGTAAAAATATTATAATCATTTTTAAATTTATAAATATAAATCACTGTTTTTAAAAATGTATATTTATTTTATAATATGTTACTAATTAAACAAATTGAGTTACAATTTAAACAAATAATTAAATTACAATTTTTTATCATTAAAGAATAATTTTTAAACATTACAGTATAGACAACATATGCGTCTATTTATCATTTTCATGATTATCGTAACCAATATTGTTAATTCTCATTGCATTTATTATACTATATAAAACATATTTTACTGTAATTATGTTAATTATAAAATGCAAATTTTATAAAAATGTTTGACATTTTTTAAAGTTTTAATTATAAAAATACTTTTTTAAAAAATAAATCATTTTTGTCTTGTATAAAATTTATTATTATTTGTTCATATTTTGAGAAATATACTTATTTTTAATATATAAATAACTAAATCATATTAAAGAACTTGTGATAATAAAAATTTATAAAATTATATCAAGTTCAATTATATTATGATTGGCCATAAAAAATTATAATAAGATAGTTAACTTACCGGCAATTTAATTTTTAAAAATAATGTGAAACAAATATAAATTATCTGTAATATTATATATTTTTTTAATTGACATTTTTCTTTCTTTTATCTAATGTTAATCATATACAGTATATATGATATACAGTACATAGTATCACACAATTGTATATCCTTACATATTTTTACAATATACTGTTTAAAATATTAATTTACATTTAAAAAAAATTAACTTAATTTTTCTCAATGTGGTAACGTCTAAAGCGATTAACATTTTTTATGTTAGTAAACTAATTAAAAGTTTGATTGCTTATAATTAAAACAATAAAAAACTAAATATTAAATTATAAGTCAAAATTTATTAATCAAATGACAAGTTTTATTTCTATATTTAAATGTTCATTATCTGTACTTCAAATATTGTTGTTAAATATAAATGATTTTGATATCAATTATTATCATTGAAATTTCGATTTTATATGTAAAAAGTTTTAAATTTTCTATACATTTGTGATTAATATAACAAAATATTTTTTAATACAAATAATAAATTTATGAAAATATTATACAAAATTTTATTTTTTTTTCAGACTTTGCATTGTTTTCTAAACGTTCAAAAGTAATATATCACAATTATATTTAGATATCAAGGGTATACTTTAAATAGACACTTTTTAAATTGTATCCATGAAAACTTGTAATCATAAATTTTTTTAGTTCATAGATTTATAACTTAAGTTTTGTATAAATTTATATTAATATGTGTTGTTTGTATTTGCATTTTATATTCCTATTACATTAACATATTGATAAAATATTTATAAGACATTTTTAGATTGCTTATTATTGTAAAATCAATATTGTAAAAAAATTATATTAATATCATTAAAATAATATATATTAGTTAATTATTAAATTATTTCTCAAATAAAAATTATATTGTATAATAACCCGGAACTATTGAATATTTCTAATGCAACTATATTAATTTGATCTACATTTATTATTTAAACAGATACTGATCATTTATATATGATAGTAACAACAAAATTTATTTAATACATATATATAAAGTATTAAACGAAATTTTCCTAAAAATATGAGAAAATTTCTTTGCTTGTGAATCTCGTAATATATTATTAAATTTTTATTATAAACAATTTAAGTTAAAGTAATAAATAACATAAAAAACATTATTTAATAATTGAGTTAATATAATACTAAAGTGCTATAAATAATGTTTACATAATATCATATATACTAAGAATTTTATAAATGTTATAATCAAATTACCAAAAAATATTTATTTTTTAATTTAAATTAATATTTAGATGATTTTAAATAAAAGTATCATATAGTTTAATTAAATATATATTTATTTAATATTAAATTTAAACTCATTAGTTAATTTTTAAAGATTAATTATTAATTAGTATTAAATTAGTTTTATGAGAAAAACTAGAGATATTGTATATTTATATTAAAATTAAATAATTTTTTAATAAAAAATCTCCAAAAAATTTCTTATTAGATATTTCAGAAAATTTCTATTTGTATTATTATTTATTATTTTTTGATTATATAATTTTTGATGACTAAATAACAATTTTATTATGTTATATATTAAATATAATAGATTACCCTAAAAATAAATAAAAAAATTATAATTACTCAATAGTTGCTCTAAATCTATCATTAAATTAGATTAACTTTAAGCATACAATTCTATATAAACTATAGACATATAGTTCTCATTTTTATTGTAGTTTATATTATATTGTATTATAATATTCTAAAATTGTTCAAAAATGAATATTTTATTAAAAATTGTTACAATATTTATGTGCTTTTATTTCATAGTAATTGCAGCCAACGATAACTCTATGCGAGACTTTAATAATAATAATAATAAGAATAATAACGACAAAGAATTGGATGTCTTTAGAAATTTAAGACGAAAAGTATTTCTTAAGGAAGACAATGGCTTATCACGAGATTCCGGATCACAATTGCAGTCAAATATGAATTACAATAAAAGAGTTAGTCGTCGTCGGAGTGGTGTATCAAATGAAGACATCAAAAGGGATTCAGTTATATCTGGTGACGACAACTACGATAGAAACTCATATAACAAACCTAACAATAAGTTAAAGTCTAAATCAAGTCAGCTATCAGTTGGCCTTTTGGACCAATTAGTGAATAATAAGTATTAATTGAATGCATTCACTATTTATTATTAAATTATTAATATTATAATTATGACTATTAAGAGATTATATTTTGATAATTTAATGAAATTTTATTTGTTTTATCATTTTTTTGATGTCACAAACTATCTAAAGCACAAACTTTTTCTTGCGTAACATTATTTTTTGTTTGTTTTGTAATAATAAAATTTAAGTACAATACAATTGTAGGTAAAAACAATCATTTTTTGGTATCCATTAAGTGATGTTAAGCTACAAATACTGTAAATTCAGTATATACTGTACTGTATGTATCTCATGGGTATAATTTTTATCGGTTATCTATGAAAATGGTATGTTTGATAGTCATATATAAAATTGTTTTCTGAATATCATGTGAATTGGTTTTTATCAGTGAATGTATTATTAGTATTGCATTTTTACAATTATCCCATAAATAATTGTTTTAATTAATTAATATATATTGTATATAACTATTCTCTTAATTCCTGATTGCTATTTATGTCGTTATGAGAGTTATATATACAATATATAAAATATATATATATATATAATTTACAGTAAACTATTATAAAAATATATTACTGTAGATTAGAATAAAATATTCTATTTGTATAAAAATAATTGTTATTATTATATTATTTTTATTAATTTACTAATTTATAACATTGTATTCGAATTCTGATATTATAAAACTTAATAAAATGAATTTATCTATATTTTTATATTTTACATTATTAAACATTATTGTATATAGTTATCCAGGTAAGAATTTTTACTAAAAAAATATAAATTTTAAATTATTAATAAAACTAAACTATAGTTGAATATCAGTTTCTCTTAAGTTTAATTATATGGCATACAATGCATTGAGAGATAATACACTTTTTGATGGCGATATTGTACTCAAAACTATTAAAAACTTATTAAATGTTGTCCCAAATGATACTCAATTGTGGCCAATGGCTATCATTCCCTACGAAGTCGACTATAAATTGGGTAATTTTGATTCAAATAGTTATATATATATTAATTTTAATTATTTTCCGAATAATATACAAATTAAAAGCGGGTATAAAAACACTATTAAATAAGGCGTTTGAATATTTTCAAGAAGAAACTTGTCTTCAATTTAAAGAAAGAATAAATGAAACTAATTTTGTTTACATTACTATCAAAGAAATGTTTGTTTAATTATTTATTAATTGTTTAATACTGTATAATCGATAACTCTATTATAGTAATAGTTGTAATTCATATGTTGGTATGATTGGTGGCAAACAAGAGCTTGTTTTAGGCCAGGGATGTCATTATTATGGAACTGTTTTGCATGAGTTGATGCATACAATTGGGTTTTTTCACGAACATTCCCGACCGGATCGGGATAACTATCTGGACATTCATTACGATAATATAAAGCCAGAAGCGGAGCATAATTTTGTTAAATTAGTTGATAACGAAACCCGATTAATTGAACCCTTTGACTACCAGTCCATTACAATTTACGGCTCATTTAGTTTTAGCAAAAATCAAGCGCCAACTATGACAGCCAAAGACGGCGAACAATTAATTGAACCCTATTTTAAAAGTAGTTTAAGTAGTGTTGATATTAATGCCGTCAGAAAATTATATAAATGCTATTAATATGATTTAAATTATACAATAAAATAATACAATATTATATAATATTTGGAATTTTGTAATTATAATATTGTGTATATTTATATAATACTCTAAATATAGACTAAAAATTGTCGTTTTAAAAATGCAATAAAAAGTGTACACACTATAGTATATCCCAAGCTTTTTCGAAATTTATCCCCCCATATACCCCATGTGATAGAAAACCTGTAGCAACTCTTGTAAATATTTTAATTTTAATTAAATACTGTATATAGTATTAAACAAAAATTTATGTTATTAATTACTATTCAGACATTTTAAATAATTAATAAAAAATTAAATTAAAGAAATTATGTATTTGTCGGTTATAAAAATATTGTTATTATTATTATTATTATGTAAGATTAATTATTATAATTTGTTTGTAATTTTTTTATTAAAAATTTAAAATATATATTTATAAATAATTGTTAATAAGTATTTATTTAATGTAATAATATTATAATTTAGTGATTTATTGTGTGAGAGCTGATATTGAAGACCACAGCAATAAGTTGGAGGATGTGATCATTAGGGAACACAATGCACTTCGAAAAAGTCACCAAGGTTCTGCATTGAAAAAAATTACTAATAATGTATATACTTTTTATATTTTATATAATAATTTTTGTTTCAAAACTTAATTCATAATTTACTTTAAACATATTGCTAGAATAGAAATACACTAGAAATCGTTGTAAAGCTAAAGTGGGACATCCATTAGGATATTCACCGCCCGGTGCTGATCCTCAATACGGAGAAAATGTCTATCGAATGATTGGCAAAAATTTGGATTATAAAAAGGTAGCCGATTTGGTTGTGTTAGCATGGTTAGTTTAGTATTTTTTTTTTAAATATCAATTTGTTACTAATTTAAATATACATAATATCTGTTTTTACGATAATATCTAATATCTAACATATAAGTTAAATGAAATATTGTAAATAAAATTTTTTTAATTTTTGTATAAAAATAAAAGGAGTAAAGATAAAAGTAACTACAAATGGTTATCAGAAAACCCAGAGTCACAACATCTAAGTTTTACACAAATGATTTGGAAAGACACCAAAAAGATTACATGTGCCATATGTGGCCAAAAAACCAAGAAAATAGAGGCAACTATTATATGTAATTACTTACCCCCGGGTAATATCAAAAATAAATATAAGAATAATGTATTCCAATCATTGGGTAGAAGTACTTCTAATTATGAAAAATCGGTTAATGAAGACGATTATAACAAATATATTACAAATAGTAAAACTAAATTTAATAAAGGATAAGTAGGTTATTATGACTTACCAATAGTTAAACAATTTATTATAAAAAGTCATACAATATATATCCTACTTTATACAAATTAATTTACTAAATATTAAGCTAATATTAAGCTTTTAATTCATTTATTTGCTAAAAATAAAATAAAATGGTGTAAATATTAATTGTGTATTTAAAATTAATAATAAATTATTTTCAATATAAACTTTATATAATACAGTATAAATGATAGTGTAATATAATACGATTTGATATTTTGCATTTTGTAATTTTAATTTTAATTTTCAATATTGTCTCTATGAGATGTTTATATTTATATAATAAAAAAATATTAAAAATCTAATTATTATTCAGGCATTTTAAATAATTAATAAAAAATAGTAAAATTAAAGAAATTATGTATTTGTCGGTTATAAAGATATTGTTATTATCATTGGGTAAGATTAATTATTATCAAGATTTTTAAATGTTTGTGAAGTTTGTTTATTAAAAGTTTAAGATATATATATACCGTATATATATATAAATAATTGATAATAAGTATATATTTAATGTAATAATATTATAATTTAGTGATATATTGTGTGAGAGCTGACATTGAAGACCATAGCGATGAGTTGGAGGATGTGATCATTAAGGAACACAATGCACTTCGAAAGTTTCATAGAGTTTCTCCATTAGAAAAAATTACTGATAATGTAATTGTATTTACTTTTCATATTTTTATAATTTTTGTTTAAAAATTTGTATTTTTTTAAATTGATAATTTACGTCAAACATGTTTCTAATATAGCAATACACCAGAAATCGTTGTAAAGCTAAAGTGGGACATCCATTATCATTTTCACCGCCCGGTGCTGATCCTAAATATGGAGAAAATGTCTATCGAATGAATGGCAAAGATTTGGATTATAAAAAGGTGGCCGATTTGGTAGTGTTATCATGGTTAGTCCAACATTTTTTTAAATATCCGTTTATTATTAATTTAAATATATAATTTAATTTAAATGTTTTCTACGGTGGTATTTAATATAGTAAAAATATAAATCAAATCAAATATTGTAAATAGATTTTTTTAATTGTTTTATAAAAATAAAGGAGTAAATCGAAAAAGACATACAACTGGAAAGATTTAAACCCAAAGTCAACATATTTTAGTTTTACACAAATGATTTGGAAAGACACCAAAAAGATTACATGTGCCATATGTGGCCAAAAAACTGATAAAATAGAGGCAACAATTGTGTGCAACTATTTACCCCCCGGTAATGTCAAAAAACAATACAAGGAAAACGTTTTTGAATCGATGGGTAAGACTGCATATGAAATCGAGAAATCGTTTATTCAAGAAGACTATGACTATTATAGTAAAGGAGAAGTTATTAGCAAAGGTTAAGTATATTATTATGACTTCCAATAGTCATACAGTCTATTATATAGAGTCATACTGTATTAAACCAAATGTATAATAATTAGATTACTATTGATACTAGATTTATTGAAAATAAAATAAAATGATGAAAATATCAATTGTGTAGTTAAAATTAATAATAAATTATTCACAATATAGAGTCTATAATATATAATATATTATAGACTTTATATAATACTGTATAAATTTTACAGTTAAATAATATGATTTGATATTTAGCATTTTGCAATTGTAAATTATAATTGTAATTTTCTATATTGCGATATGTACAGTAATTTATGTAATACTTGACAAATATTGAAAAAATATTAATTTCGACTTTAATTAAATATATAGCATTGAATAATAATTTTTATTATTAATTACTATTCAGACATTTTAGATAATTAATAAAAAATAAAGAAATTATGTATTTGTCGTTTATAAAGATATTGTTATTATTATTGGGTAAGATTAATTATTATCAAGATTTTAAATAATTTTTTGTGAAATTTGTTTATTAAAAGTTTAAGATATATATATAAATCATTTGGTAATAAGATATGTATTTAATGTAATAATATTATAATTTAGTGATATATTGTGTGAGAGCTGACATTGAGGACCACAGCGATGAGTTGGAGGATGTAATCATTAGAGAACACAATGCTATTAGAAAATTTCACCGGGCTCATCCATTGGACAAAATTACTGATAATGTATTGTATCTACTTTTCATATTTTTTTTATAATTTTTGATTAAATATTTGTATTTTTTAATTGATAATTTACGTTAAACATATTGCTAAAATAGGAATACACTAGAAATCGTTGTAAAGCTAAAGTGGGACATCCATTATCATTTTCACCTCCCGGTGCTGATTCTCAATATGGAGAAAATGTCTATCGAATGAATGGCAAAAGTTTGGATTATAAAAAGGTGGCCGATTTGGTTGTATTAGCATGGTTAGTCTAACATTTTTGTACCCATTTTTTTAATTAATTTAAATATACATAATATATGTTTTCTATGATAAAGTCTAACATATTAAATCCTATATAAATAAAATGAAATATTGTAAATATATTTTTAAAAATTGTTGTATAAAAATAAAGGAGTAAATCTAAAAAGGATTATAAGTGGGAACAAGAAAACCCAGAGTCAAAACATCTCAGTTTTACACAAATGATTTGGAAAGACACCAAAAAGATTACATGTGCCATATGTGGACAAAAAGTCAATAGTAAAGTAGAGGCCACTATTGTATGCAATTATTTACCCCCCGGTAATATCAAAAATAATTATAAGAAAAACGTATTGGAATCCATGGGTAGGACTGCATATGAGATCGAAAAACCGGTCAGTAATTCGGATAAAAAATATATCACAGAAGCAGAAACTTTCAATGAAAACAAATCTATTGAAGAAGAAAAAGATGAAAAAGAAAAAAATGAAGAAAAAAATGAAGAAAAAAATAAAGAAAAAAATGAAGAAAAAAATGAAGAAAAAAATGAAGAAAAAAATGAAGAAAAAAATGAAGAAAAAAATGAAGAAAAAAATGAAGAAAAAAATAAAGAAAAAAATAAAGAAAAAAATGAAGAAAAAAATGAAGAAAAAAATGAAGAAAAAAATGAAGAAAAAAATGAAGAAAAAAATGAAGAAAAAAATAAAGAAAAAAATGAAGAAAAAAATGAAGAAAAAAATAAAGAAAAAAATGAAGAAAAAGAAGAAAAAGAAGAAAAAGTAAAAAAAGAAGAAAAAGAAGACTAAGTGTGTTATGATTTAATCCACTATTAATCCACTATTAATCCATTGTCTATTATATTGAATCATAAAGTACTGTATAATTATTAAAATACTAAATATTAAGTTTTTAATTTTTTTATTTATTGAAAATAAAATAAAATGATGCAAATATCAATCGTGTAATTAAAATTAATAATAAATTATTCACAATATAAACTTTATATATATATATATAAATATATCTTTAAAAAAATATTTTTTAATATAAAAATATTTGTTATAAAATGTTTTATAATTTTTATATAAATGATTTATCATATCTTTAAAAAATAAATTACAATTCAGTGGTTTCCAAATTCATAAGACTTAATTGATTTAAAGTTGGATTATTAATGTTATTATTATTATTGTGATTATAATTAGGACTAAGTTGTTGTGTATTATTATTAACAAATGTTTTAGTATTGTTATTATGATTAGATGATGAATAGGACTCAATATACACATTACTAATACTCTTATGATTGGTAGTACTGTTTGGCCTACAATTAACACCGGATGCTATCAACCGGGGCTGTGATTGTTGTCTGTTGTGATTACTGTCACCTTTAATCACATGTTTATTGCCGCCGACGGCTGTGTTGGTTGGCTTTTGTGGCGGTTTTGGCGCTAATTTCTTTGAGTTTATATTATTTATATTATTTTTGTTATTAGTATTATTAGTATTGTGACTAATAGTGATGTGATTAATACTACTTTGTGGTAAAGTTATATTTTGTGGGGTCACTCGTCCCACAGCTAACCCCCGACACAGAGCTTGTCTATCATTAGTGGTGGTCGACGTGGAACCGCCCGAGTCGTGTCCGTGACTTCCGTCCAGTGAATCATTTGGCGAATGACCCGACACTGCATTTTCATCCAATGAATTACCACTCGAGTGGTTACTAATTTAAATAAAAATTAATAATAATTTATTCAATTAATTAGTTTATATAGTATATCGTAAAAAATTATAAACATATTTTAGAAAAATTAATAATTAATATTAATATTACATATAAAATACAAACCTATGATTACTGATCTGTTCCTCGTCTTTATCGTACCAATGGTTGTCATACCCAGTCATCCACATAGGATTAGATCCTTCACTCGCGTGTTGGTTAGTATTGGGAACATTACATCGGGTAAGTTGACTCTCTGTGCCAAAAACGGGAACAGTAGCCGCTTTCAACTTTCTTTCGTATCTAATTTTTTTTTTATTTAATCAATAGTTTTATAAAATTATTATAAGTTTTTTTCTAAACATACTTTGACTTTTGATTAAAACACAAACAAATCACAAGAACCAGTAATAGAGACAAGAATGCTGTCGTTCCCAATAAACAGGCCTTTAGCTGGTCTTCCCATTCAAGAAAATATTCAAGACTTTGTGTCGGCTAATAATAAAATTACAATTTAATTAAAATTATTGAAAATATAATAATAACTTAATATAATTTAATAGAAGTAAAGCTTACTTCAGTTACTAAAACATTAAACTCTTTATATAATTCATCCAAATATTCAATATTTTTGTCGATCAAAGACAAGACATCGTCGACATCAAGTATACTATTGTCTTCACGATTGACAAAATGCAAGTATAAATCAGTTCTAAAATAATAAGATTTATATAAATATTAATAATTATAATTATATATTAATTAAAATCATTTAAAAATTATAATTTACTTTTTCTGATCCACAGAACCGTCTCTATTCTCATGAATCTTATAGCTATCAATATTAACGGTCGCACCGGTAATGTTAGCCAAAACATCTCGAAATTTCTCTAATTTTTCTCTGAGCTCTTGAGGTGTCAGTCGAAGTATAAATCGGACTCTTTGATCGTCTCGTAATAAATAGATCTAAATATTAATTAGATATAAATATTGTATTATAATTTCAATTACAATATTTTAATATACTTACAAAAACACGTGCGCTGTCCGCCAGTCCATCCGTATCGTTGGCCAACACATCGAACTCAAAGTATCCCTTCATATCCTTTTGTGGATCAAAGTTAAGACTGATTTCACCAGTCATTCGGTTTATAATAAAAGGTTCGGCACTTAATGTATCTAAACCTTCAGTTAATGTTTCTCTCACTTCAGATATGATATAATAATTGACTACAGAGTTAGCGCCTATATCTGCATCAATGGCCTTGATTTCCATCAAAACGGTTCCGAAATCAACTTCAGTAGTAAAACCTCCGGTAAACACCTTTTTTGTCATTTTTGGTGAGTTGTCGTTTACATCTCGCACTCCGATTAACACTTGAAGTAATGAATTGTCTTTTTGATCAAATTTGGTTACATTTGGAGGCACTTTGAAGCAGTCATTAGTCGCCTGAACTATAAGAGTGTAATTGTCTTTCTGTTCGCGATTTAGTGATTGGGTTGTCGTCAAGTCGTGAGTAAATGTATTTAACCGGAACTTATCGCCGCCATCGCCACCAACGATGTAATAACAAGGAATTGTCTTAAAACCGACCGCAGGATCAATGATATCATAATCATCCTTATCTATTGTCGGCAAAAGTTTATATTTTTCCACTTCTGTAAAAAACAATATTAAAATTATTCATTAATTATTTCAAATATATTATTGTTTTGTTTATAATAAATACCCGGAAGAGTATTTTCAGTGAAAACTACTTGAAACACGTCTTGAGTGAATTCAGGCTCAAAGTCATCGACATTTGTCACTATAATAGTTAAATCCAAATCACTGGACAGTGATGTGGGCTCTCCCATGTCGTATGACTGCACTCTTATTTCGTGAATCCTTTGTGCTTCTCTATCCAACTGTTTAACAACAGTAATAACACCCGTCACCTCATTAATAGCGAATGACTTCCAGTGATTATTTGGTAATTGTCTCAATTTATAGCGAACCACAGAATTCATATCTGAATCTTCATCGGTGGCCAAAACTTCGACAACAGTGGACCCAATGGTCGCATTCTCAGCTACTCTGATAGTCATATTAGAGGGTGGTTTCACAAATACCGGGTTGTGGTCATTAACATCGGTAACACAAATGCGGACTTTTTCTGTCGACGATCGCTGTGGTTGTCCACCATCTGAGGCCTTAACGGTAAGCGTGTAATTAGCGACTCGACCTCGCAGTGAGAAACGATTAATAAGTTTCGCAGTATTTGGTGGCGATTGTTCAAAATCAAAGAGTCGATCCTCATTGCCATCAATTATGGCAAATATAACCTTTCCGTTGGGTGTATTTGCTGTTAATAATTATTATATAATTAGTAATTAATTAAATTTATGGATAAAATTTAAAAATAAAATATAAATATACTATACCATCGTCAGCATCATTAGCCGTTACATAAGTAATCAAATCCTTGATTGGATGAAACTCATTGATAATAACACAGTCACCCGATTGCGGTATAATTATTGGAGTTTCATCGTTAACATCGGTAACTGTTACGGTAATTGTATGAAAAGCCTTTCGGCTCTCACCCGTTAAAAAGCCGTACTCATAGTTATCGACTGCTTGTACTAAAAGCTTGTATTGAGACATCTCTTCCCGATTAAGGACACCCGACACAACTATTGCCCCCTAAATTATTTAGTTAATTAAATATTATAATTTATATAATTACGGTAAACTAAAATTATATACCGTTTCTCTATCGATTTTGAATTTGCCAAATGTTGAGCTCGAGTCCAGTAAATAAGTAATTTTACCAAAAACTCCGGAGTCGTCATCGCGAGCGCTGACCTGCGCTACCAATGAGCCGATGGGTGCGTCCTCTGGAATGATATACGATTGACGCTGTTCTCCGACAAACACCGGATTGTTATCGTTCTCGTCGAGCACTTGAATGGACAATAAAGCTAATCCCGTGAGTGGCGGTTGACCCGTATCTGTGGCTCTAACGGTGACATTAATCCACGAATACTTTTCGCGATCAATTCGTTCAGAAACAGCCACTTCACCGGTTTTGTGATTAATTTTTATCAATTGTAATAACTCTTGTCGGCCTTCAAGTGAATAAATAACACTTTTATTGGTGTCGGCGTCGTCTGCATTGACAGTCATAATGGGAGTGCCGGCGACCGCATTCTCAGTTATTATACCCCGATATAAATGGTGAATAAATTGTGGTCTATTATCGTTAACATCTGATATTTGTATTGTCAGTATTGCTTAAAAATAGAAATTTTTATATTATTAAAATATTTTTAAATATTATTTAATTTAATAATACTTTTATCTTTCTGTCCTTTAGTTACGGCCGCTATATCTTCGACGACTACATAAAGTTTGATTTGATCCCATTGTTCTCGATTAAGAATCTTAACCACTCTAACGGTTCCATCCAATGGATTGATAGTAAAACTATCGACAAACAGATTATAGTCAACAATAGCTCCAAATTCATTGCGGGCTTCACTTCTGGTATAATCAAGAGAGTATCGCAACACAGGTTTATCATCCAAATCGGTTGCCACAACTCGTGTCACTAAGTATTGATTGGTTACGTCTTCGGGCACAACAACCACTTGATTTTCACCAAATTCTGGCGCTTTATTATTGACATCAACTATAGTTATGTTAACATTAGCTGTGGAAGACTTTTGGTCGGGACCAAAGCTTGAGTCCAATGCCATCACATGTATTAAATACCAAAGTTGTTTCGGATGAGTTCTATCGGGATCTAAGTTGGCACCGGTGGCCACTGAAATGACACCAGTGTTTGCATCGATTATAAACTTATCCAAAGCACCGGAAACTATTCGATAGTAAACTCTTGAATTGGCCGGTGAATGATCGCCATCGAGAGCCGAAACTTGTAATACCATTGAACCGTCGCGAATATCTTCAGGAATTGATTTTGTATACAAATTTTTGGTAAAAATTGGTGAAAAATCGTTGCGATCAAAGACATAGATTATAACTTGAATTTCTGTGTGAAGCTGTGGATCACCCAAATCGTAGGCCCGAACTGTAATCGTTATATTTCGTGAATCGCCTAAAATTTCAAAATTAAAAATTATAATTTTATTTAAAAAACTTTATAAATAATTTACTTTTAGATCCGGGTATAGACTCAAAATCTATGGGTTCTCTGACTCCCAATTGACCAGTGATTTCATTAATTGTAAAGTTATTTGAATATTGATTGACAATATTTGAGTCAAATGTCGGTAATATTTTATATCTGATTTCCGAGTGTTTGGTGCCAACGGCGTCCTCATCGTAGGCAATGATACGTATGGGTTGGTCGAAGTCATGACTGTTCTCATAAAGTCTTGCCTCATATTTGTCTTGAGTAAACTTTGGACGACAATCGTTGACATCTGTTATGTTAAGAACTAATTGGACAGTATTTCGATTGCCGGCTCCGTTAGCATCGCGGGCCTCAACTATAAGGAAATGTTGTGCCGATAGTTCTCTATCAAACTTATGATCCGACGACTTAACTGTGATTACACCTGTGATTGCATCTAAATGAAGAGCTGAAGCCATTTCTCCTCTAATATCTGTATAGCGAATACCTATTGTGCCATAAGAACCGGTATCAATATCTCGGGCATGAATTTTGGCCACAGATGTGCCTTTTACAGCATTTTCAGCCACCGATCCATAGTATAAGTCCTGATCAAACTGAGGGATGTTATCGTTGACATCCTTTATATTGATAGTCACCTGAGCTGAACTACTTCTCGCACTATTAGCAACAGTTGAAACCCCAGTCTTTTCTGTAGCGATAAGATTTAAACGGATTTGTTTGATCTTTTCGTAATCCAAACGAACTGAATCCCTAACTCTTAGCATAATTGATGCCTCATTGAAGCCCTGAGTCGGTGTCACATAAAACACATCTTCGAGACCTTTGTTGTCAGCCATTTGTATGTTCACAACAAATGATCCGTTGTTTCCCTGATCCAAGTCATAGACTTGCGGTGAATCGCCAACAAAAGTAATTGGCATATCATTCGGCGCATTCTCCGGTATTTCGGCCACATATTGGTCAGACCTAAACTTTGGTATCTCATCGTTAACATCCTTTAGGATTATAGTAACTTCAGTGGTAACAGTCGGCGGCGGAAATATAGCAACTGTCACTTCGGTGGCCTCTATTTCGAGTATATAAGCACCAGCTGTCTGTCCCGTATTATTTATGGCACTTTCGCGGTCTAAACGACCAGCGACTGAGACGACACCCGTATTTTGATTGATTGTAAACAGTTTTTGATCGCCTTTGATTATACGATAAGTTATGGCATTATTAACACCTCTGTCACCGTCGACAGCGGTTACTGTAAGCACTGGAGAACCGATAGCTAAGTCTTCGGCAATTCTAGTAACTGATGGCACAAATGTAAACACTGGCGGTTCGTCTTCTGCGTCCTCCACTTGCACTACAAGTGCAGCCGTTGCTGTTCGGCGTTCGCCTTCAACGGCCCGATCTATGGCTAATAATTTTAATTGATATATAGATTTCTTTTCGTAATCCAGAGTTGAAACCAGAGTTATGACACCTTTTCCTATTATAGTTAATATTTAAATATATTAAATGAAATTGTAATGAAATTGTAATGAAATCCAATATAATGACAATACCATCGACAGTCTCAATGGAGAATGTGGTCGATGTCTGTGATGAGTCCTGATTGTCGTTATCCTATTAATAAAAACAAATAGTATTTAATATTGAAAGATATCAATGAGAAATAGTATGACATACCAGTAAATCGTACAAAACTTGACCAAACCGTCCCTCATCCGCGTCAAAGGCTTCAACTGTTTCGATCTCAACGCCAGGTTTAGACGCCTCCGATAGTGTGACGGCTGTTCGGTAGGATCTGAAGACTGGAGGATTGTCGTTGATGTCCTCCACAATCAAAAGTAATGATTTTGTTATCTATCAAAACATTTTAAAAATTTATTAATTTTATAAATCAAATAATTAAAATTAAAGACTAACATAATTTCCTTTTCCAAGTTTGCCATCAGTTAGTGTCAACACTAATGTATACGAGTCTTGAATCTCTCGATCCAACTCTTTCTTTAAATATACTTTGGCCTCATTTGGTGGCACCGGTTCTATGCGTAAAAGATCGGCTCCGATGGTACCCAACACACCGAACCTTAACTGATCGCCATCCGGGTCTTCGCCATACAAATGATATATTTGTTTATTGAGAGAAGACTCTCCTTCCTTAACTCGGACCACAATCTCTGATTGCAAGTCATCCAAGTCGTCGGACTTAAATCTAGGCGGAGTATTGTGTGCAGCAAACAGTCCTCGTAGACCATCATTGACCAGAAAACACACCAAAGTTATGATAATGACATGTGGTTTGTGATACTTTGACATTACGTCAAATCAAATCAATCAAATTGATTCAAACAATTTTTTGTGTTTATTTCAAATATAGTCATAGATTTACGACTCAATTATCTCATTATTTTTTGTTTCATATTTTAAGACAATAATCACCAAATCTATTCAAATCGATTTATTTTAACTGTTAAGTCATTGTATCAATTCATTTGAATTCCTATCAAAAGTTAATTAAAAATCAAAAATTATTTATTAATTAAACACTATATTCTACAAAAAATGTGTTTTTATTACTAATTCATATCATTATCAATCTTATATCATTTAATAATTTATTTTTAATATATTAATCATTAAAACTGATAAAAAATAACGGAAAAAAATAAATTTATATACATAAATAGCAAACATTATTTAATCAGTTATGTTAGAATAATTTAATAAATTGTTGTATGAATAAAGTTTTATAATGTATATAAATTAGTATAAAATTATGTAATGTGATTAATATTTTCAGTTAAAGTTAAAATATCATATATTTCTATAAAAATATGTGTCTTTCAGTGTATGAATAATAACTTTTCACGGTTTACGAGTTTGATAGCAATCTTATGATTTGTTATGAAATATAAAACTATAAAAAATAATTTTCTTAAATATTAAAATCATATTTTACATTATTCATACAATTTTAAAAATCTAATACTGTATACATATGTGTGCTATATTTACAATATATAAACTAAATACAGTATATAATTAATACAATATAATAATTTAACATGTCTTCAACACTATTAGAGTTTATTTAATAGGTTTCTCACTGAAAAAATAAATGTAATATTCTTTATATAACACAAATAATTTATATTATAAACTAATGATATAAAACTTTTAATATAAAATATTTTCTGATACATATTTTCGATTACTATTATTTAAATAATTTTTTTAATATAAAAATTTAATAAATTTTTTAAATAATTCAATGAAATTATCATCAAAGTTTACGCTCTATTAAAGTGTAGTAAATAAGCAAAAATAGTAATAAAAATTATTAAAATTATTAAAATAAATAAGAATACAAATAAAAAATAAGCGTAAAATGTTTAAAAAATTAAGGTTAAAAATTTTAATTGCAATAACAAAAACATTAATTTATGTAAAATATATATCTAATAGTACTTCAATTTTGTGCTAATATTGCGGTTAACGGTTCATCAAAACATTAATAATATATTATATTATAAATAAATATATTTACATTTTTAAAGTAAAAACAATAAAATATTATTCAAATATTATTTATTTATTTTGCCAATTATTATAAATGACAAAAACTTATCTGTATGTTAACCGCAATAATTAAAGCAGTATTTATTTTAATTATCAAAATTAATTTGTTAACTTATAAATTAACATTTGTAAATATAGTTTTGAAAATTTATTAATCATATCTAAATAACAAATAGTTTATAAATATGTGATAATATTCTACTGAATTCTAATAAATATTTTTTAAAATCAAATAAAGTTTGGGTTAAAAACCTTATTTGTAATAAATTATATTTTTATAGCCAATTATGTTTGAACTGTCAAATAGTTTGCTATTATTATTATTTATTTGTGAAGTTCATTATAAATTCAGCTCCAAATTAAATAAATAGTTTTTTAAATTGATGAATGAATGTGTAAATCAACTAAAATAAAAGTGAAATCATATTATTTTAGACACAAAAATTAATGTACTTTCAGACAGACTTTTTTCAGACACTTACAGAAACTTTTAAAGGATTTGAAAGCAATGCAAGCGAAACATCATTTCTTTTAAAAAGTAAATTATTGCAAACAATACCAACACTTCAATAATCAAAACATTTTTATAAAAAGACAAGAGAGAGAGAGAGAGAGAGAGAGAGAGAGAGAGAGAGAGAAACAAGTTTTTGTGATTCAGACGAATGACTCCTTGAATTAGTTATCCATCGGTTCCGACTCTTAAAGCTCAAGACTTAGACATAAAATTCATATAAATTTTTATCATAGAAAGTAAAATATTGAATTCAATAATAGCTATCAATTGTTATATCAAATAAATATATATATATATATATTTATAATATATAAATTATGATCTGAAAAATACATTTAAAAATATTTTTGAATATAATACGATTGTAATATTAAATAACTATAAAAAATGATTGAAACGTATCTTTGAGACGAATAATAAGTTTTATAAAATTATAGATTTTAGATAAACTAAATATTTTTAGCGATTCGTGTGATGTAAGCGATAGATATAATTAAGTTAAAATCAGACATTTATATAGCTATTGAATGTTTTAAAAAATATTATTTTATATAACATTTGTAACTTATTCATAATATGATACGTCTAAAAAATATTATCTTAAATAGTATGAGATTAAAATTATTTTATCCCCATACATTTTTATGTCATAAAAAATAATGGCTTTTAAACTATATATAAAAAACTATAAAATAACAATAATTATTTGATAAAATATTAATAATAAAAGCGTTTTTTATAAAAACCACTATAATGTCTATACTTTCAATACATGAATTACCATTTATTGGGCGCCCGAAGGCATGAAGTCTTTGATCCGTAACATTAATCTTATCGACGGCAACAACAAAAACATTGGCACTACATATATATACAGGTATATAGGCATATGATTCAACATAAGCACCGGTAACCAACACACACAACACAGCACAGGCACACCACTGTTGTATCCGTCAATGTAGTGATCATTATTGTAAAGTATTGCAGATTTTTTTTCTAAATCAAATTCAAATCCCCCGCATAGCAAAACATTAGCTTATATTACGATAACTACTTTTTAAATATACTTTAGTTATCAATTTATGAGACAACTATATTAAAATAAATTACTTAGTGGTCACATAATAAATCACATAAATCTTTGAAGTTAATCCCTTTTTTGTATGTATTGTTTAAGTTGATTGTTTCAATTAAACAAAAAATAGTTTTCCAAAGATTTTTATATTTAAAGAAATAGTAGTTTTAGTGGTAAAACACATACATATTATTGTATCACTGATTTGTGACTCACATTTCAATTTATACTTTGTTTTGGGTTTTGAATTGTGTTTTTCACTGCCGTTTACTATAGCAATGGATTTGTTTATAACGAGTGATAATTATCTTTGGAAACCAATAGTCTTTCAAATTGTTGGCCCAAAACACCGCTTCACTGACTCTGAAACTCTGTTACGACAAACACAACACACAAAAAACGAGAGAGACTTTCCTCTCTCATATACTACTGACGACATATGGCTATAGAAATGGTATTTTAATAAATAAGTCGTTAGTTAGTATGTGTGCCCATACAGGACAGGTATTACCCAAAGTCTATGTAATGGGGAAGGGAATGGTAGGATAAAAGCTAAGTTATAATATATAACTTATATATACTGTAAGTATAGCATAACTATTGTTAAGTTAAGAACATATTAAAAATATTTTTTCTCCTTTTGCTATCACTTTATATATATTTTTATGAGTGAAAGCATTTGTTCTCACGAATAGACATTCACATCAAAGTCTAACTATATCTCAAACTTTTATCGCATTATATATAACACGAATCTCTCTCTCTCTCTCTCTCTCTCTCTCTCTCTCTCTCTCTCTCTCTCTGCTTTGTGGTACTCCCTCGTAGTTATGTAAAAGTAAAAATTATATAAATTTTAGCTTTAAAAATATTTCACATTCAGTATATATATAAACGAGTAGATAATAGGAAAAATTAGTAATTCATGTAATTGTATTCAATGCTAGTTTCTCATAAAGTCTTTTCGAGACTAATATAATATTAAGTTTTATGAGAAATATAATGAATTTTACGCAAAATTTTATTTGAAGGACTTGTGTGTCACTTAATTATCAATAAGAGTATAATACAGTGTCTATTGGTTGGGAAAACAATAAACTTTTCGCTTATTTAAAATCAAGTTCACTACAGCTTCTTGTATTTAGTTTTATATTATGTTTTAATTTTCATATAATTCATAATAAAATATTACTTAATTAGATATAAATTAGTGAATGACTATGCAATCCCTCTATAATATTTTTAAAAAATAAATTATATTATTGTTTGTTATAATTTATTACTTAAAGTAATTGTTAAACGCATATATTGCTTACATTAAGTTTTATTGTATAGTATATCTAGAGATCAATATCTTATAAATTACTTTCATAAAAATTATTACAAAACATGTTAAAAATATTATATTTAAACAATAGAAATGATATACTGTACTAATAATTATTATATTAACTAATATTTCCTGCAATTATAGCTTAAAGAAAAAATTAAATGTGATCAATTGATTGACCAGTTTAAATATTTATATTAATAAAATTTTAGTAATATGCAAATTTCATTGTTCATAATATGAACTTCATATTATCACAACTGTATTAATCTAAATATTATTTGTTTTATTCAAACATATTAATAAATTTTAAGAAAAATCTGAGTTAACAAGATTTTCAAAATAAAATATAATGTATTAACCAATAGATAAAAATTATTAAAAGTAGAAATTGATGTAAATATATGTCCAAAAAGTTCAAAATAATTTTGTCAATCGATTCTCTTGTGAACTAAATTCTGATAAATGTTTTGAACGATTTTTTCCTGTTAGCAAAACATAAAATTTTGATAAAAAGTTATTTATATTATTAACTTATATTTATTAAATGAATGGATAGTTAATTCCGAAAATTTTTCTACAAATCTATAAATATCTTTAAAATAAGAGAATAGTCTTACATACAAATAGTACACATATTTTGAATTAACTGTAAAATATGTGAACATTAATAGTGAGAAACATTGGAATTAACTCTTCCGACAGAAATAACAACAATAAGACAATTGTTATCATAAATGGGAATCACATCTATCTGTTGAACTAATCAAACACCTACTCATCAAAATGAGTGACAGTTCTCTAAATAACACCCAATGATTAGCACAGGCGTGAAGAGGACAGACATTTTTCCGTCAAGAAAATTGTCTAAAAATATATTTGAATTTTTTAATGAAAAA